TTCCTCTCCATTGCCTCCTCTCCTACTCCAGACCATATTATACCAAGATTACTTCAGTCAGCTCTCTCCCATTTCGTATATCTTTTCTTCTCACCCGTCTGTGATGCCCCCAGCACCCCACATAAATTGTGTATATGTTACTAGACAATTTGACTCCTCTTCCACTTGTTTAGCTCAAGAAGCTATAATGGATTTCTATTACCCAGAAGTTAAAGTTAGAATTTTTGCCTCTCTGTCAGTCATTCCTTCCCATCCAGGCAGTACATACCAGGGAAATCTCTCCTCTGTCATCATCTCTTTTATTGGCTGCCTGCTTTGACACAGGGCCTTAAACCTGTCACTGGGCTAAAGCTAGATCAACAAAGTCCTTCGCCCCTCACCAGCTCCTACCAGGGCCTTTGTGTTACCATAGGTATCTGTGATGATGATGTTCCTTATCATTTCTGTAAGAAGAATGAAGAATGCAGCATTGGGAGAAATGAGATTTCTCAACAACTGAGTTCACTTTTATAAAGTTTATGTGACTCTAAAAAGATTAGACAAGCTTGGTGGCCTGTCTTCAGCAAGTGTATATAACTTCATAGCAGGCATTAAGAGACTTACCTCATCCGTGGAGTATATTTTTTTCCTGTTCCTATTTACCTAATCTTCAAGAATAAACCACTCTTTGACTCCTCCTTAGCACAGTCTTGTCAACTATTCTTTTATTATTCCCACATCATTGAAATACTAGTGTCTTGTTCCTATTGAGAATGTATGCCTTTCCACAAACGAGACAGGCGGGAATTTTCAAAATATTCATAACTTAGTAGTAAAGGTGAATAGCAACAAAGATACAAGAAGCATATAAGTCAAGTTTTGAAAGGACAGGTTTCTGAACATTTTGTGTATAGTCTCACCTAGTTCTTGGGTTCTAACCATCTTCCCCGTTTCCCAGAATACTTCCTAGTCATATGCCTTCCAAGAGAAATGCTGGCTCGTCAGTTGGGTTTCAGGGGTAATCATTGGTGATGATCCCTGAATCCTTTGTGACAATCTCTGCATTTCCTGGGGTACCCAGTATACCAGCCAGCTCTCTGAGCCTTCCCCAAACTGCACCCTCAAGAGCAGAGTGGTTTCCTCACCAACAGTAAGAGTATTTGGTTTCTCTGTAGGAATTCAGAGTTTCTGTAAGGATTTGGTGGAGGTGGCAGACATTTTGGAGAAGACTACAGAGTGTATTTCTGAAGAAACAGAGCCTGGGGACCAGAAGCTCACTCTGGAGAAGATCTTCCGAGGCTTGTCACTTTTAGAAACAAAGCTGAAAAGCGTGTTTGCCAAACATGGCCTGGAGAAGATGACACCCATTGGTGACAAATATGACCCTCATGAGCATGAACTCATCTGTCATGTGCCAGCTGGTGTTGGGGTGCAGCCTGGCACTGTGGCATTAGTAAGGCAGGATGGCTACAAGCTTCATGGCCGCACCATTAGACTTGCCCAGGTGGAAGTGGCAGTGGAGTCTCAGAGAAGACTATGAATGGGCCCAGAGGAACTGAATGTTCTCCCGGAGTGCAGTCACCTGTGATTCCTTTATTTATTAAACTAGGTTCATATTGTACATGAGGTACTTCATGTGATCTGTTTTGGATTTAGTCATATTGGCTTTATTTCTAAGATACTCTTTTGATTTAATGTGACCTGTTTGGTCTCATCAGAAGTCTTGCCACTGGGCATTTGAACAATGTGACAAGTGTTCCTGTGGCCTTATCAAAATACGTTTAAGAAAATTATTTTGAAATTGGTACTCTGATGACTTTCAATCCAAAATTTTTTTTAAAGGTGGAAATGAGTATATGTTTATGTATTTTCAACTAAATGTTCCTTACTAATGGTCCCTATAAAAGGAATTGTATAGAATCTTGTATTTGTGGGAAAAGGAGATGGTAGGGATTGGTTTAACATTTGGGTACTTAAATGATAAAGCTTTATAGTTGTATGAATTGAAATCATTTCGGTTGATTTTTGTGCACGTAGATTTTCAGGACTTCCCGTTTTTATTTTATTTTTCTTTTAGCCATCTTTTGTCCTTGTAGTTCCTGCCAGATAGACTTCATATTCACACTCGTTGTCCCTTTTCAAATCCCATTTACAAGGCTAATGACCCAGGCAAGACTTGGAAGGCAGAGACTGGCAAGAAATCAAGATACCAGGTCCCTTTCGAGCAAGTATGGCCAAGAAACCTTGTGCTTTCTTTGTTGAGTTAGCTTCAAATTATTTTCAGCCCCCTCCCTAGGTATATAATCATTTCAGGGAAGTTGAGGCAGCACCAACAGCTAAAGACCTAAATTGGTCTACATAGGTAATTTACCCTCAACTTCTCTTTCCACCAGCCCTTAAATCCTCTGCCACTTTGTCAGATTTACCTTATGATCCTTTATTAGATTACGTGGGGAGGTGGTCAGGACAAAAAAATGTTGGGTTCCCATGATTCCTCATTAGTTATGCTAGGTTTGGGGTGTTTTTTGGGGGGGTGGGGTACTCACAATTCACTACCTCTCTTACATTGACAAGCTTTATTTCCTAGTTTTTGTGTGTGTCTTATGTCACATGTGTAAACATCTAGCTCCCCTTTTATGTACTGACCTCCTAGAGTTAATGAGCCTATGTGTATATTTTTTATTTCAGTCTTGCTTATAAATAGTGTTCTGTAAAAAATTTATTCAATTTATTCAATAAATGAGTTAGTGAAAGAATGAGATATATACAGATATAGATATAGATCTATATCTATATCTATATCTATATATCAATTGGACATTACAAAGGAGGTCATATGGTTATTTTAGTGTTAGAAGCAGCCTTCATGGTGATCTAATCTCACCCCTTCAGCTTCTTCTGAAGTATGAAAACATAGTCCTTTTAGGACTAGACTCAAAGAAAAAAAAAACAATCTCTAAAACTAGTAAACTAAATTTTAGTGAGAACTTAAGTAAGAAACAACTAGATATTAACTTCAGTCATTTAAGATTCAACAGTTCTATAGCAAACATGTAAATATGTCCCCAGCAGAGAATTAAATGTTGTTAGGTGTCCAGATTGCCCAGGTTTAGGTTTAAGTTACTTACCCATAAAATAAATCCATTCCTACTAGAACTCTATGACCCCATTCTGTGGAGTGGTGAAAGTTATCCTCTTAGACATCATAGATAGTTCTAGCATACTACACAAGCATGTATCAACAAAGCATCCCCCAGTGGGTCCTACCACCTCCACCAGATTTAGACACTTAAAAAAAAACAAATACATGCTTCTAAGATGCAAGCAAAAGACTGTTGGTGAGATTTTAAAACCAGAACCTCTTTTGTCATTCCACTAAGTACATACTGTAGATATAATGAGCAGTCAGATTTCACAATAGGAATTTGTCTTTTTTTTGCCTTCATTCCTTTGAGATTAACAAATAGTGACAAGAAAATGAGCCAATTATGATTTCCTTTGTGTTCTTGGATCACTAGCTATCATTACCAGTGAATTAGAATAACCATAATTTTAGGTGTGGAATGTTCTGATTACTTGAAGAGTTTTTAAATATTCCTTGCAACCTCCTGTTTTAGCAAGTAGACTGAGAATAATTTCAGATTCTTCGATTATTCAGTAGTTTTGCAGACTTAAAAGTATAAATTTAGAAGATGGAGCTATAACAGTGAGAATCTCAAAATGCTGAAGGGCTTTCACGAGCCAGTGCAGCATAATAGAGCATAGTAGGCTTAGTAGGCATCAACTTGAACATAATTCCCAGCCTAGTCACTTCACTCTTCTGAGCCTGCTTCCACGTTTGTAAAATGGTTATAATTCTCAAAATATTGTGAGGATTAAGCGAAATGTGCAAATTGCCTATTACAGTAGGCCCTCAAATATTTATTTTTATTGCCTTTTATTATACACATTGTTTTTCGTATGTTTTTATAGTTGCCTAAAGTCTAGGGGAAGGGAAAGACTGGTTAAGTGGTGCTTGACTATAAAAAAAAAATGGTAAGCTAATCAATCACAGCGAACTTATTTTCCTTTTAGCTTCTGTTTTTTGTGTTTGTCTGTTTTAACCAAAACAAGGAAATCTACATTTTTAGACTGGAGAAATAAAATTGCTTCAGTGCCCTTAATTATTTTCATCTTGATGGTAAAGTAAAAAGACATCATTGGCTTGCCGATGATATGTGTAAGGAAGCTTTGACTCATTTGAAGAGGGATCTTGGTGCTTTAGTACTTGGATTTTAAGAATCTTTTGTGGATTTTCCTCACTGCCATAAAGGAATTATTCAGCCTGACACTGATATAAGCTTGTGGTGGTCTTTCATGGCAAAGGATTTAATAACTGAAGAAAGGTTCTTAAACACTAAAGCAAAATCAAATAAGGAAGACTAAGGATGAAATATAATCTTCAGAAACAACTTTAATAAAACCTTAATTGAAATAACTGTGTTTCACGTGTTTAGTGTCTTTGTCTGCCAGATTCATATTGTGTATTGACGTGGTCACTCCACTGATTGCTGACCCACCTTATTGACACTCAGTGGAGGTACCAGCAGCCCAGCCAAGTGAACGCAGTGTAGGCATTCCACACCTTGCCTCGGTGTTGAAGTCTTGTCTGTTCTTCTACCTCCTTGACTTGCTTCCTTCTGATTTCTATGTATTTCTTAGATCTGGACTCCTGTTTCTGCCTTCCTCTCTGGCACTGCCTTTTCTTGTGCTCGCTTCTTGGTTCTAATTGTCTTACCTGCTTTAATCATTTCACTTGAACTGCAGGACTTCTGACCATCCTCTCAACTGGATTACTGGCATGTGGCCTACTGCTTCCATAAGCCCTTCCCAACCTTTGCCTGGCCTTTCCTTTACCTCTGCTTCTCCACTGGCTTCCACATACGCAGCCTCCTGGCTAAGTGCCCCTCTTCGCATTCTTCCAGTCTTGTCTGCATACCCTGGCTCCATAATCCATTGTTCCTCATACTCCCAGTGCTAGTTTGTAAGTATATTCTTATTCCTGTCCACTCAGACTTTGTCCACATTCTCAAATTCACTGGAGGTTTTAAAACACGACTCCAAAATCTCCTTGAATCTGGACCAATAGAATATAGGGAAGTGACACTGCTGGTTTCTGACCCAAACCTTCCTGTCTCTGGATGCTCACTCTGGATACAGCCATCAAACCAAAGAGTGAGCTCAAGTAGCCTGTGGAGTGGAACTGAGGGCCATGGCTGAGCTTTCAGCTGACAGCCAGCAGCATCCTGCCAGCCACCTCAGTGAGCCACTTTGAGGGTGGACTCTCCAGTCCCCAGTGGAGCAGCCCCACCTGACATAACATGGAACACAGATGAGCTGATCTCACTGATCCCTGCCCAAAGTGCAGATTTATGGGCAAAATAAATGATTGTTACTTTTAACCACTAAGTTTTGGGATGGTTTGTTATGCAGCAATAAATAACTGATTGAGTCACCCAACCTCACTCCCAGTCAAACTACTAGTTTTGCACCTCGGCTACCAGAATTATGCCTCCTTGCTTTTCCTCTTAAACAGCCTTTTTGAACTTGTCCTACAACTTTGATACACATCATCGATGTGTTGTTGGATTGGAAGAACTTCCAGAAGAAAATACAGCTCTAGAATCTAGAGTTACCGAGGACCCTAAAATTAAAAGCCAAAGTAGAGTCAAGTTGAGTTTTAAAGTTAATATGATTTTACCCAATTAAAATACTGCAAGAATTATATTGTTAGCACATAAGAGAACATGGCACAAAGTGATGGTGAATGCTTGTTTTAAAAGATAATTTAAGGGAATATCTTGAGTCTGGAAATGAACTTAAAAGGTTTTCCATTCTAACACAAATATTGCCAAAGAGTTTTTCTTTTTAATATGAGAAATGCATGTTTATTCATCTACTACTTTACTAGTAATCTAGATTGGCCCTGTTAAGACTCACAGAGCTGGTGGAAACTCAGATCTAGGCCCTTTTACTATTCTCCAAGTCCCTTCCATTTCTTCTCTTAGCCATAATCTGACTGAATAAACATGGATTTTCCTTATTTTACCCTGAAACTCATCCCCAATTTTATTTTCTGCTAGAGGAAATCTGTCCTTCATAGTGTGGTAAACTAGCCACAGTGAGCTGCTCTTGTTTTCTGAGAGGGTGAAAATGGGAGCTTACCCCTTCCTTCCTACCTTTCCTCCCCTATGAAAGGAGAGTGGATGAAACTCTTACCTTTTGTTTTTAAGTAGAAGGCAGAGACATACACTGTATGTCAGAACTTCAAATACACGTAGTAACTAACAGCAGCCTTGAAAGCATCTGGCCTTGTTTCAGCATAGGCTGAAACAAGCAGCGTCTAGCCATCCCGACTGCATGACTCGTCAGCAATTTCCAGCACTTGCAGACACTGCCAAGTGATTTCACATCCCCTATCTCACGTGATTGCCACAACCACCTAGAAAGGCAGAGCAGGGAAACAGAACGAGACACAGACAAGGCACGCTACAGAGCCAC